TAGAAGGCGCTGGCGGCGTTTAAATCTGACCTGCGAGTCTGTGAAGCCAGCGAATCAAAAGCGGAATAGGAACCGCACAAAGCTACAAAATCTCTTTTATTAAGTAAACAGATTACAACAAATGACACTTCGCACCGCCCAATCAATTCGCTAATCGAATTCTTGATGATCTTGTCCATTCCCTGCACTCTGAACTTGTAGTGACTAGCTCCACACGAAGTGCATTGTGGACGCTTATCGTGGCTAGTTCAAGTTGAAGTGCATTTTGGAAACGCTTGCTGCTTCCGGCCTCGGGAACACCCAAGCACACGTCGAATCACACAGGACCTCAGGTGACGAATGCCCAGCAGACATCGCTTCGGACGCCGTCCGCTGACTTGCGGTTGTGTGTTCGTCTGACAGTCAATTTCCTACTGTCTATTCTCCCACTCCATCTGTACAGAATAAACTCTTCCTACCACTCTGGCCTCCAATGACTTCTCCTCTCTCTAAGAACGGGCCTAAAGCTCGCAGTCGCCAGGGTTTAACTTACTTAACCCTTGCGATAGCCGAACGACTACGAAGTTTTCCCGCGCCATGGGCCAAGGCTTCCGACATATCTTTTGCCGTCCGCCTGTATTGCCATTTCTAGCACGCTTCTTCAAGCGTAAGGAGACTGGACTACAAAAGCTGATATTGGAACTGTCTCCCAATAAATGTGCATTTTACGTGGACCTTTACAGTCTTGCGTACTTCGTTAATTTATCATCTGGTCTCGGAGAATAGAGCCATATTTTGCAGAAAATGTTGGATGCTACCATCGTCAAAATTATATGTATCTTATTTACATATTTAAATAATAGCATGCACTGTATGCGAACTAATCGTATGGTATGGCCCTCTTTGAAGTTACCCTCTGGTCAACGGAGTAGAATGCAGCACAAATGCATGGGTAAGCACGGGGCGCATTTTTTTAGCCAGTTGTTCTCGATGCGCACAATTGGCCGATTCCGGACATTTCTATCATACATAGTCCTATTCTTTAAAAATAATGGGACTAGCTCCACAGGAAGTGCACTTGTGAACGCTTGTTATGACTAGCTCAAGTCAAAATGCACTTTTGGAACGCTCGCTACTTCCAGTCTCTGTAACAACCAATCAGAGACGGACTCGCACAGGACCTCAGGTGAGGACTGCCGAGCAGACTTCACTTCAGACGCCGTCCGCTGGCTTGCAGTTGTGCGGGCGTCTATTAGTCAATTTCCTACTGCCTATCCTCCCATTTATTCTGTACAGAATATACTCTTCCTACTACTCTGGCCATCCCAAGACTTCTCTCCTCTCCTAAGGAACTGGGCTTGGAAGATCGTAGCCGTTAGGGTTAACTCAGTTCGCCTTAACACTCCCTCGATAGGTCTTCCCTTTAATGGTGTTTGAAGTATTCCCGAGAAACAATGAATGGCTTGGGATATCCAAAGTTTGTGTGCGAGAACAGAGTCACGGCGATGTGTCAGAAAAAAAAGTAACTGTAATATCAGTAAAAAATATTGAGGTCTCCTAAAAATTCCCAAGGTAGGCGCCCTTCGGTTTAAACCCATGGGCATGTTAAGGACGGCAGCCCTCAGCAGGTCCTCACGGGTAGTCTATTTAACCAACGAGGTCCTGCCTTAGATGGACGACCAGAGGTCAGACCGGGGTCGATATAAGAAACGTTATTTTTACATGAGAGAGTTTTAAAGTAAACTATCGCAAACGGTTGCTCCCCCATATAAAATCTAGCAGAGCGTTACCTGGGAACGAATCCAAGCTTATCCCAAGGTCTCTTCTACTTCCCACGAAACAGAAACCCCAATGTTCCATGCCCACGATGTCAAAAATATGCCAACGGCATTCTAGTGCTTCGAAACAATTTGCATTCACAGGAATTAATTTAAATCCGACCCTCACGGCAGTAAAGGATGGCATTAACGCAAAAAAAAATCCTCCAGGCGCCCTCGCTGACCGCGAGGACCAATGCGTAGATCGGGTCATTGATTCACACTACGGTCAGGTTTGTCCGTACCACTCTGGCTGGCTATTCGGCGAACGCAGTGCATGGCTAATCAGCCAACG